CAGCTGGAAAGGCAAAACGTTTGCTGGATAAATTGGCGGTTCATTCCACTGTGGCGACCACAGATTAAAAAAAGGGACTAAGCAAAAAATAAAATGAATAAATGAATAAACAGTAACGTTAAGTATCGCTGCATTGTGACGTCATTATTTTTAAGCGTTCAAAAGGCTCCCTGTCAAAATAACATTCCTTACATAAATATTTATATTTTTTTAAGAATTAAAACACCGCCCTGTATAATAGATTAAATGCGGTTCAAAACGATTTATTGATATGACTGATAGATATTGGCAAATGAGTCAGCTTTTCGAGATTCCATAGGGGCATGGCGTGGCTTGACGCGTCGACCACATCGGCCACATTATTTATTTGAGGCAAACGCCATTATTCGGACAAGAATTTGAATTATTTCTTCAAGTGGTAAGTAAATTGCAGCAATTTCACGCATTCGACTCAAATTTACCACATCCCTCGTGTTTTAAGGGATTACCAAACCTATATAGCAACGTATGTGCCAACGTGAGAAACAGGCTCAGCGAGAGAGATCGTTTTAAAATTACAGAGCTAAAAGATGAGCTTAGCTTGATTTAATTCACTCATAAGGGTGAAAGAAAGCCAACATCCACTAGCTGGCTTATAAATTGAGCTTGATTTGTGCTTTTCTCGGGCCTGGTTTGTTTGAAGTGCACCTCAGAGCTGAGTCATGGTTACAGGTTAGGAAATGAGCTGAGGTGGAGTGTTATTTTAAGATTAAAGACAGGAAAGCAAGGAGAGGACTAACACATTTACAGCAAGTGTAGATCTTATCTTGTTTAAACTCAGAATCATTCAATTTGCCAAAGAACATAGTGTACATCTGACTGAAAAGCTACGATCAAATTGATATATTTTGAATGGATTATGGCGACTATTATTGAAAACATTCCCTTACGAGATCATTCAATGCGGTTAAATTGAATTGCTGTTAAATTGGCATACGTTTCTAACGCATATATAAGGTTTCAAATTTGTGTTTTAACATACTAGAGTAATGTGTTTTTACAGAGGAGGTTTTGGATGTCTTTTTATGCCCTCCACAATTTTGAAAATACTGCATTCATGTACATTTGAGCTAAACTCTCTGGTAAAACCTTCAAAATTCAGATGTGAATTAAAAAAGCCTTTACAGATGTATTGGGATTTAAAAAGTGTAACAAAATAAACATAAAAGTGTCATTTTTATGCCTTCTGTACAATAGATTAAAGAAAAAATAATAATAACAGAAAAGCCCAAAATTGACAGGTGTATTTGACTGGAGTATATCTCTCCTAAGTCTTAATGTAACTGTATGGGTGTGTGTGACCATGTAACCTTAATCAGTCCCATAATCCTTCATTGCTAGAAAGTCCACACCCTTGTCTCTGAATGTGAGCCAGTTCTGTCCAGCTCCACTGCCTCCAATATGGAGAATCCATTCCCCTGTTCCACCTCAGCGGGAACCACATGGATCCATTTCAACTCCGTCCAAAGACTCCTCAAAAGTTAGTCTGACCCTAAACGTTCCATATGACAAGCCAAAAACTTTACTAACTGCAATTATTGTGGTTTTTGTTTGTGTGCTCTAGTTGCAGGCATTGTCTGTGTGGAAAATTTGACTAGCTGTGATTGCTGATTAAATTGTTAAATACTCCTTTATGAAAATATGTTTTAGAATTTTTAAAGTAATATTTACATGTTTTTAATATTTCAAACAATACATTGTGTCAAATTTGTGCACCTGCACGGTATAGGTTAAACAAATCTTACTAATAAACATAGTTCAGACCAAAAAGAGGGTTAGAAAGGGAAACAGATTAAATATATTTTACAAAAGTTATCAGATATTGACATAACTTCATAGATAATTGTACAAATGTCATTTGCTCTGTATTATATATTCAGTTCCCTTACTAAAAAAAACTATATACACTTAAACAAATTAATAAAAAGTAATTTGATTGGAAAATTATTTTAATGATAGACCTGAATTCATTATGATATAAAACAATCACTTTAATAATCTCATTATATGTGGTGTTTTTAAGTTGTGTTCAAGAGGATTTAATACAGTGCTGTACAATTTAAAAGGTTTTTTTTTCCTTGTAAAACATAGCATTTTTTGACTACTCTCTTTTACACAGGTTAACAGCCCGTAAATGGCCTTTAAGCCGGCAGTATCGGCAGACCATTTTTGTTCATTTCAATTATATGTTGAAAGCTGTGGTAACTTACTGTCATTCATCATTTTCTAGTTTAATAACTGAAACAGAGAGACTTTTTCTTTTCTTTTTACTTTGACTAAAGCCAATGTTTTATACTTTTTAGAAGGGAATTAAGGATTGTGTGATATATACTGTAATGATGCTGGAAATTCAGCTTTGCGTCATAGAAATATATTACATTTTTCAAGTATATTAAAATAGAAAACAATTACAAAAAAATGTTTTCCCCAATTTCTGTTTAGCGGAAAAAAAAATTTTTTGCAACACATTTCAAAACATAATAGTCTTAATAACTCATTTCTAATAACTGATTTCTTTTTATCTTTACTATGATGAGAGTAAATAATATTTTACTTAAAAATTTTCAAGACACTTCTATACAGCTTAAAGTGACATTTAAAGGCTTAACTTGGTTAACTATGCAGGTTAGGGAAATTAGGCAAGTTGTATAACTATGGTTTGTTCTGTAGACTATAGTAAAAATATACTGTAGCTTAAAGGGGCTAATAATTTCGACCTTAAAAAGGTTTTATAAAAAAAATGTAAAACTGATTTTATTGTAGCCAAAATAAAACAAAATAAAACTTTCTCCAGAAGAAAAAACATTATCAGACATAGTGTGAAATTGTCCTTGCTCTGTTAACTAATTTGGGAAATATTTAAAAAAGAAAAAATATTCAAAGGGGGGCTAGTAATTTTGATCACAACTGTATTTGAAATTGGAATCATATGTACTATGTCTACACGGTATTTAGGGGATTTTTTTCTACTATATATTTTGCGATATCAATATAATTTCACAAAATGAGCATATTTGGAAAGAATTTATGATTTTATATTTATTTAAATGATTTGTAAGGAGATGCATCTGCATAAAATTATTAAGCAGACACATTTTTACAGTCACTATATAAAAAAACAGAAAAAACTTATTGTGCATTTGTGAAGAATGCTTTACATGGGTGAGTGGGATTGACAAACCACCTGTAGAAAGTTCTCCTCTCTCTCTCTCTCTCTCTCTCTCAAAAAAAAAAACTTCCCCTTCTTACTCCAGCACAAACAGTTTCTTTATATAATTAGCACTTCTTATGTGTATTGCTGCTTGTGGAATCGCTGAATGACTTCTCAATTGTAATTTGCATTGGACAAAATCATCTGCTAAATATAGATGTAATATATACAACATTTTATTAAACAAAAGGGCAGATGAACAAAAAAACAGATAAAGGATAAAAATGAAATAACACTTTATGGTTTTTAGTGGAGTATAACTGTATTAAAGTATAGAAATTCAATAACCATATTTAAAGTAATGCTGCATAGACTTTATTCTATTAAATAACTAAACACAATTAATCTTCGTTAAAGCAGGAAACTTGATAATTTCTTGTGCTCAAATGGTTTCAAGTAATTTAAAATCTTAGTGCCGGGCCTTAAAAACACACCCAAATAAAAATCTTTCATATTATTAGAGTTTAACTTTACAACGACTCCACAAGTCACATGTTCTGAACTGTGTTTTTTTTGCATGTCAATTATAATCCCAACATGAAATTTGCTATATCAATGCTGAAACGATATACACTACCTGACAAAAGTCTTGTCGAATATTCAAGTTGTTGGAACAATAAATAATAACTTGACTTCTAGTTGATCAACTGGTATCACAAGTGGCTTATTTGAAAGGTAAAGGCCTCTAGATTACGCTTATTTTACCAAAATAAAATATGATCATACCTTGATTTTCAATTATTTAATTAGGACAGTAAGGTCTGATATATTTGGATTCATCTTCAATGCCTTCTTCATCTTTCCCTAGACATGCTTAATATTCATATCTAGTGACTGGGCTGGCCAATCCTGGAGCACCTTGACCTTCTTTGCTTTCAGGAACTTTGATGTGGAGGCTGAAGTATGAGAAGGAGCACTATCCTGCTGAAGAATTTGCCCTCTCCTGTGGTTTGTAATGTAATGAGCAGCACAAATGTCTTGATCCCTCAGGTTGTTGATGTTGCCATCCACTCAGCAGATCTCTCACATGCCCCCATACTGAATGTAACCCCCAAACCATGATTTTTCCTTCACCAAACTTGACTGATTTCTGAGAGAGTCTTGGGTCCATGTGGGTTCCAATAAGTCTTCTGCAGTATCTGGGATGATTGGGATGCAGTTTAACAGATTAATGATTAATCACAAAAATGTACCTTCTGCCACTTTTTCCAAATGATCAATTAGAAGTCAAGATATTATTTGTTGCTCTTACAACTGGGATCGACGACAAGACTTTTGTCAGGTAGTGTATTGTGCAGCCCTAACATGTACTAATGTATAAATAAATAATTAATGTATCCTTGGTAAGCATAAGGCCGCTCTTTTTTTTGACAGACTTAAAACTTTTGACCAGTAGTGTATATAAAATACTTCAAAGCTGTTCAATCAACCCCAAGTTAATGGCTTCAAAATCTGTTCCAAGATTTTGTATATTTAAAAGTAATAGGAACACATGCATAAGGGCTTTATGACTAAATGTCTTTCTGTATATGCAGACACTTAGCATGGAAACTATGCAAAGACTGATGCGAGCATGCGGTGGTCTCAGTTTCATCATGAGTGTTGAGAGTGATGAAAGTCCATGTGTAACCGGAGCGCTCAGGTTTAATTTAGCCATGGCAGCGGTGCAAACACGTCTTCATTTGAGACGCCACACAGACCGCTGACAGCAGCACTCAGCATCTCTTACAAACAACCCAGTGACACTTCACAGTCTCCCAAAATATTTATTATTATTCATATATTTCATGTAAAAGACCCTGCTCTCAGAGAGAAAGGCACATTCGATAGCAAATACTCATTCAGTTTCACAAACACAGAAAAACAGGTCTGATGTGTGCACCCATATGCAGTTGAGACATATTTTGCTACTTTTAATGAAGAAACCTGGCTTATTATGACATGTCCTTCCAAACTTGTGTGACTTTCCTTTGTCTGTGGAACACAAACTAATATTCCAAAGATTTTTTTTCCCATAAAATAGGGCTGGGCGATTTGGCCTAAAATCAAAATCACGACTAATTGAACATTTTAACTCGATTTTGATTAATGAATGATTATTTTATTTTTTTTTTTTTTGCCCTCATAGTTCACTGACAAGTTTTGTACAGTAAAACTGCTCACATATTACAAGTGAGATAGTTTTGAATGAAAGTTCTATGATTATTTACTGAACATCAATGTTGAATTGAAATTAAAGCACACATTGCCTAAAATTAACAATCGCGTGACTCCCTACGTGGTAGGAAAAGTAAACGAAAAAATCGAGCTGGAAAAATTAGATCAATTATAGGTTCTGAATGTTGATTTCAATTACTCTTCGATAAATCGCCCAGCCCTACTGTGCAATCTCTGACTTTTAAAGGCGTACTATAAGTTACTAAACCTAAAACTATCTAGTTGTAATTTTGTAAGTTAAGTTAAAATAAACATTTGACGGATCATGATAAAAACATTTATATATCAGCTAGAAACAGTCATTTTTATAGTGTCATAAAAACTAAAATGTAAATTAATATAAACCAGACATATTTTTTAAAAAATATGTATATTCCACTTATATTTAATATATATAATATATATATTAGTTTTTTTATTTGAGGTATTTTAGTATTATGCATACTGTAATTATGTACTGTTATAATATTTAATAATAATTTGAATCAATATTTATAAATAATTTAGAATATTTTTTAAGTGTTTATATATTACATTTTAATTTTTAACTTGCCTTGAATGTGCTTATAATTTGTGATTAATTTACTGTCTCTACCTTTCATTTCTTAGGTAAAAAAAATTCTATCATTTTTTTTTTTTGTAAATTTGTTTTTATACATTTTTTTACATTTCCAATTTTTTTGTACATTTCTATTTAGTGTTCATTTATTTGTTGTGCTATTTTAATTTAGGTTTTTTTAAACATTTTTCATTTAGCTGTCATTTTTCTGTTCTATTTTTGATTTTGACCACAACTTTATATTTAATTTCTGTTTCATTTTAGTTAACAAACACTTTTAATAGTTTTACACTCAAAAAATGATTTTGATGCTTGTTCAAACTACTTGTATAAAGGATCCGCAACAACACAATTCTTGAGATCTTTTTAAGTCAACTTAGTTGTTGTATATTTAATCCACTTAAACTTGTTAGGTTAACTTAATTGATTTGTGTTGGGACAATATAAATACATTTTGTGAAACCCTGCATTTTTTTTACAGTGAAATTAACAGTAACAAGACCGACTTTCAATGTATAGAAAAAAACCAGACACTTTTAAAACAACATCTTTTGTGTCCCACAGATGAAAAGAAAATCACAGCAAAAACAACCTTTTAACTTCCAAAACTCATACAGGCTGTTTATTTTAAATCTGCCGACATCTAATTTGATTGTGATTGTTCTGCCTGCTTCTAAGTTTAAAAAGTTCAGAGGGGCGCCGGCCTTTTGCTGAAGGAGTCTGGGACTTTTCTTTCCTCGCTAAACTGTCACCATTGAGCGTGCTGAAAGAAACCCACTCCAAATGAAATGCCCTGGAACCCTTTTGCTACTCCTCGAGTGTACCTTATGCTAACAGAAGGGGAGGAAAAGTGGCACACAAACACAGTCCTTTCACAAGGCAGAGACTTAGTGAAGGGGAACAGTTTGGCAGACGGTTTTTACTGCGTAATTGACTCTGGTGCTTTCAGAAGACCGCTGATCTCAGTGACACACACCTTTACACATCGCTTTCCCAAACACAGGGCCTATATTTTTGTATATTTTCTTTTACAATCCTTGGCAATGTGAAATCAGCTTTCAGTTGTGTAGAATGTAAATGTGTGTGTATGTGAAAATGTGAGTGTGTTGCAGTAGGTGGAGCGTCACAGTCTGTGTCCTGTGTTCACTTCATTAGAGTTTAAGCATCCAACAGGGAGCCAGGACTGTTTTTCACATTACAGCACCTGCGATTCCCATTACATACAACATATAGTGCACTACCCACACACACACATTCACGTACAGCATCTCATAAAGCAACACATCTATACAGTCACGCATACAGCACACATGCACGGTTATACAACACATACTGTATATACATTGCATATGTACAAGTACACGCTTCTTTTAGCACTTTTTAAGGCATTAAATACGCATTTTTTTGAGTTGAGCATTCTTATGTAACCCACCAGTCGTACTGCACCCATCCCGTTCTGAGCTGGGATCGAGCTAGTGACTCTTTGTATAGGAGTTGGTTGCTCTAACAAGGAGGCTAAAGACCATAGCTGCTAGTGACTGTTGCTAAAGCACTTTTTGAGGTCAGAGGAGTGAGGTTTACCTGCATTGCACTTTGCTAGCTGGCCTCTGTCACAATCACCCACCTAAACCTCACTCCCATCCCGGATGACCCCCCAAATGTAACCTATCGGTCCTACTGCACCCATAACGTTCTGAGCTGGGATCAAACCAGTGATTCTTTTATGGGAGTCGGTTGCTCTAACAAGGAGGCTAAAGACCATGGCTCCTAGCGTCTGTCACTAGAGCACCCTTTGAGGTCAGAGGAGTGAGGTTTACCTGCATAGCACGCTGGCCTCCGTTACACTTATAGTTATTGAAATTTGCATGTTTATTATACTGTAGATGATTAACCTTTGCACCTTTTTCAAATTCTCATGTCTTCATATTTTTTTAATAGAAATAACTTCTCTGCGTCTTTCAACGTCATCTTGTTTGATGATGTGCTCATCTGTGCAAGGGGTGGGGCAACCTGTCAATCACATAAGATCATCCAATAGCAAGCCACCATCATCCACTCAATTCCCAGAGAACTAAACCAAGCCCCGTCCAACATTTCCTCTTGTTTGAGAAGCCATTTCACTTGGAAGTTTGCCACATTACGAAAACAAAGGCGATTTCCAAGATCTTCCATTGCGGGTCAACTTTAAGTACTGTGTTCTTTACATCACACAAAAAACTACATGTTAGATTAAGCACCAGTATGAGTCTCATTTGTGTGGCACAAGCCAACAATTACTCATCTTGGGCCCTGAACTGATCTTTCGTGTGTTCCTCTTGCAATTTAAATTCAGACATGTCTCCTACAAAGGTCCCATTGGGTTTCACATGGTAACCGGAGGGTGTTTGTGATCCCCGGTTATACTTGCCACACTAGCCACACTGGTTGGTGGAGGGAACGGAGACTGTAACGGCCGGTAGCCTGCTTGAGTGGGGTCTAAAAAGGCCGCAGCCGGAGCTACCGGGTGGGCGAAACCGATGTATTGAGGATGCAGGAACTGGCCTTGATGAGGAAGAATTTGAGTGGCCTGCTGACAATTTAGTACTGAGAAGTTGGTGGGCATGTTTACATACACACTGGCATCTGGCGGAAGGCAACAGGATGCCTGGGCTCGCAGCAGAGGAGCTGGAGCGGGACGGGGAGCGGCAGGAGGAGCTGAAGAGCTGGAGGAAGTGGCTGTGCTGGACTGGCGGGACGACGAGCCTCGAGAGGTGCCAGTGCTGGCCATCATGGGAATCGTCTCCAGGACGCGGGCGCTGCTGGACGCTCCTCCTGAACCGCCGCCTGATGTAGGCTCCTGTTTGGGACGCAGACAGCGGCAACAGCATACAGCAACAACAGAGCCCACCAGAACGAATGCCACAAAAACTGAGCCGACGATCAGAAAGGGCACGTAGATGGGTACTGCAGAGGGAAAGCAAAAAGAAAATGGAGTTTTGTTAATTTATCGCATAAATAAATTGTATTTTTCATAAGAATATGGTTGCCTGAGCACTACCATGTTGTTTTCTCCTTGTAACAACTTGTCAGCTCAAACACATTTCTACCACTTGTATTTAGATTTTTTTCGAGACATTTTGTTTTATTTCATCATCACACGCTACATCACTTTCACAGGAGTGCTTAGTGCAATACATACATAAAGGAACACTACACTTTTTGAAGATAGGCTCATTTTACAAGTCCCCTTGAGTAAACAGTTAGGTTTTAACATTTTTAACATTCAACTGATCTCCATGTCTGCTGGGAGCTTAGCTTAGCATAAATCATTGAGTTGGATTAGACTATTAGCATCTCACATTTAAAAATTCAAAAAATCAGTTTTGACTATTTTCCTATTTAGGCTGCAAATTTTTGTAGTTTATCTACATCTATATCTATCTATCTATATCTTGTACTAAGGCATATGGGAAATTTTCTAGGCTGATATGGATCTAAACCAGGGATGCCCAAATTTTTTCTTATAAATGGCCAAAAATCAAAATTGATTAGCCAGTGGCCCAAAGTAAATATAGTTACTATGCGTAATTTCCTTATTTATTTAATAATATTTTAAATAACTAGAAAAACATTTCTTTATATTAACTTATACAATATATATTTTTTTTACATTTTATAATGAACTTATTACAGTAAAAACAATCTCATTTATAACAGAATGGAGTTACACTAGTTTTTGCCTTGATTTGCTCGCTGATGTCTTCTTCATGGTCTTCTATCCAACGAGTGGCAGTATTTACATTTTTAAATGTTTACTCAGCAATAAAACATTCATTCATTCATTTTCTTTTCGGCTTAGTCCCTTATTAACTTATTAACCGCCAAATTCTACAGCATATGTTTTATGCAGCGGATGCCCTTCAAGCCACAACCCTTAACTGGGAAAAGCAATAAAACAAACAAACAAAAAATGTTATGTCAAACTAGAAATGACAATCTCTGTTAAAGGCATTCTCCCTAACCCACTCCTCAGATTAGATGGTGGGCCAAATCATGGGTTACAATGGGCCAACTTTGGCCCGTGGGCCCTACTTTGGGCATCTCTGCTCTAAACTATACTCTCATTCTGATGTAATAATCAAGGATTACTAGCAGGTTTGCTGCTGTACCCTGAGTGCAGCAGGCGCAAGGATATTATGCAGCGTTGAGACTATTTTTAAGTCCTGCATAATATTAAGGAGAGTTACGACAGACTTGGAGATTGGCTGAATGGATTCATAAATGATGAAACTGAACTATTTATCTCTAGGGACATATAAAAATAGCCTACTGCAAAAAAAGTGGAGTATTCCTTTAATACTGAACAAACCCAAGTTACGCAGCTTATGAGAATACAGGAAAGTAAGCAAGCAAGTGAAAAGAATGTTGATGGACTACGATTTTGACTGTAATTAGAGTGTTTTGGTTCAACGCAGTGTTGTATGACTACCTTGTTTTTGTGAGCTTTCTCACAACACTTCCCATAACTTTCTCATGTTTGCTCAGTAGGCAGAATGTTTGTACACATTTGACCACATTAGTTTACTCTACAGAATAATCCGGTCTAATGCACTTTCCACTACCTCTGGAAGTGGATTAAAGTAGACAAGCTCAAAATGTTTTAGACCCTGCTTACACCGGTATTTGGAAACCTCACTTGTGAATAGATTGACAAAATCAGCAGTTCTAAATAGGATCCTAAATAGTCCAAGCAGACACACAACGTCGTAAGATGTTAATTTCAGGTTAGATTCAGGTTGTGATGTCAGGTGACTAAAATTCAGTGTTCAGTAGACCAACATCATTTGACAATGATATTTGGTTGATTTTTGGTTGTGTTGGAAAGTGACCAAATTCCAACATCGAGCAAACATCTTACACCCCATTCACACAGGGCATCAACAACAGTGCTTCCCATTAACTTTGAATGGGTGACGTCAAGCGTTGCCGAACTGCACTGTGGATCCGTCTGCGCCGCGTTAGTGGCATTGCTCACTGCAGAAGTTGGGACTTTATCAAATTTTCAAGCGCCAACGAAAGTGCCAGCCAATCAGATCGTTGTATGTAAATACACCAGCTCAGACAGTAGCCGATTGTGGACTAATTTCATTGGCTGACGCTGCTATGACTATCACGTCAGCCCCAACTTCAGACACACCCTCTGTCAAGCGTTAACACTGAAGCCCGTGTGAATCGGGCGTTAAACCAACATCCTATTGACGTCAAATACAGACATTTATTTGTCAGAAAAATCCCATGTCTGATAGATGTCATAGTGATAACGTGCACATAACATCAAGGTGTACCATCATTAAATGTTGATATTTGGCTAATTTTAGGTTGGACGTTGGGTTCTAACGTCAACTCAATTTTCATTTCCAAACAAAATGCAACGTCCCCTTTACGATGGTGTACAATGTCAATCTGACATCATGTTGACGTCTTGTGTCTGCTGGGGTAGTTTTTAGGTGCGTTGTTGATGTTTCTGAATGAGTTCTATAGTGATTGTTGATTTGTACTCATTTGTAATGATTGTTTATTTTGTACATGTGTGTGTTTTTATCACATTTGTGATCATTAGTCACAGTCTAGAGCAACTAGGAGGTTGTTTGTTCACTTAAATATAACCAAATATTTTGTTTTGCCCACTTTATCATCAGGTGAATATCAGGTCAGTTAGAAAGTAATCTCTTCAACAAACAAGCAGCAAGATGTCAGGTATCATTCATAAAGTTTAATACCTTTGATTTTTTTTTTTTTTTATGTGTTGCATGTAAGACAACCTTCATAATGTATTTAGGCCATCCAGCTGCATTCACTGCCATTGATATTAGAAAGTATAAAATTACAGTCTGTATCTGGCCTCCCTAATGACGAAAATAGAGAAAAGTGCTGGGTAGCAGGACTGGGGGAGTTTTGTTTGTGTATAGCCCTTGAGCAATGTTTTTCTTCTCTTTAGAAAGCATGTATCCTTTTCAAACTCCAGTAGCATCTGAAACAATTACTTCCACTGCCACAAGCAAGACTAGGATATCAGTAGTGGCTTGAGCTTAATGTAACTTCGACACCCTTAAAATGAAGAATACTTTTGGAAGCCTGAAGCAACGCAGAAACCTGTTGACGTATTATACAATGCTGCATGCATGTGTGACTTTAAATACGAGAACTGAACGCTCACATGCTCACAGATGGGTAGCCCACGTGAGATGAAGGGATTTGGAAAATGAAAGACGAGATGTTGCACCATTGACTTGTCCCCAGGGGTCCGGGGCCCCTCATTAACACTTATTAAGACAGTTTTGATCTGCTCTAATCTCCTGCAATCGGTGGTGACCGCACTGCCCTTGCTGCCTGATCGTGTGCTTGGGTTTTTAGACAGGTAACTCTGCATTAAAAGCAACCTTTATAGCTTAATTAGACATCTAATTCGGCCGGAGGAGGCTTTCCGAATTTCACTTTGTTGTATCTGGTCAGGATCTCTCGCCCTGTATAATTGAGCTGAATCAAATCATGTGTAATAGCCATGCAAACTGGCTTTTGTTTTTAATATAGGTGCACTTACAGAGCTGTAACCTGAAAACACAGCCTCTGTTCAGCGATTTATTATAACAATATTAAATCAAGGACATGATTGCTGCGCAGAATGACAGGGGAGTCATTTTCACAGGAGCTCTTTTGTGCTTTGGTGGTTATTACTATAACAGCGGAATTTCTGAGTAAATGACCTGAATTTTGGCAAGCTTTGAGTTTGCGTGCATGTTTTCAAAATCAGTGCGTTTTTGGCAGTTGAAACACCCTTTTTTTTACAGTACAAACGTGTGTGGAAAAACAATAGACAATCTGTTATACTACAGGTTATTCGATAGATTTATTGCTCCCGAGTGACATTACACTTTTTATATTTCAAAGTGTCATATGAGATGGAAGGTGACACCATTTTTCAATAGCTTTAATAGTTGAATCATGTAGAATATGTAGTTTTATGTGTCTTTCAGAAGTTTGGTTTGATTAAAGTGAACTTTGGTGGGATTGCTCTGTTAGTGTGGTTCTTTTATTTATTGTAATGACACCGGGACAATTATTGCTCACGCTTATCTGCAGTGTTTTCTTCGTGACATTTTTTGTCATTGATGATCAAGTGATTTTCATAAAAAAACATTAGATGGTGCTAAACAGAAATACCTCGGTATAGGGATGGGTACCAAAACTTGGTATCCGTGCCAAAATATAAAAAAACAAAGTATCGATAAGCTCTGACGTTAACGGTTCTGCTATCGGTACTGGTGAATTATTGCTGAATAAACATTACTTACAATAGCAAAATTTAAATTACCAACCTTTTCTAATTTGCGATATTCGGCTGCACAGTTGGCGATCTCACATGAGCAATGCTCATGTTTTCGCGCAATAGTACAACGGCGAGCACGTCAAGTATGAAAGCCTTCACAGTTCTTGGCTGTGCGTGCGAGCTCAGTGGAGGCTCGCACTAAGCGCACACAAAGATCGCGACACAGACTCACACACAGCTTGTAAGCCTGGAAGAGAACCAAACGGATTGTATTTCCCATGTGAACAGCAACAATGCAACAAAGTTGTTTTCTTGTATAAGCAGAAATGAAAGCAATCTGGCAAAGCATCTTTTAAAAGATTTTTTAACTGCAGAGAGCACAATAAACCAAGAAAGATCGTAAAGTCTGCCAGAGACAAACATATTGATATTTCTCCAGAAGAAAAAAAGTTTAAAAACTGAGAGTCATTTTTCTTCCAGCCATTGTACATTCTTTTACAAGATTTTTTAAATTTATTTGTTTTACAATTATTAATTTTTGCTTTATTTTACATAAAAAATGTAATTAATTCTGTTAAATTTTTTATATTTTTTATTTTAAAAAAACCCATACAAAAAGTACCAATAAGAGAACTGTTAAAGTACCGAACCGATAAGTGGCATCGATA